ATGCACTGCTGTGCCCGAAGTCTGAAGAGTCACCCGAGGGCCAATCTGATGGACTGGCCCAGTACCCGGACTGGAGTGGGAGGAATAGGTAGGAAACAGACAAGTGGGAAGGATCGGACAGATCCCAATTTGAACAATTTCCTAATCAAAAACAAGAAAAACAAAACTTTAAAATTCGAAAAAAGTCTGTCCAATCCCACTGAGTACCGAAGGTGATGTAGAAAGCAAATGTGAACCTTCGGTGCCCAGACTGCAGAGAATCAGAAAAGAAAGGTTTTTATAGCTCAGAGAAGGAGTAGGTTGCAAAAGAAAAAAAATGCCGTTTTTTTTTTTTTTTTTTGAAAAAAAATAACGGAATTTGCAGACCTACGCAATGAAAGTGTAGAGGGACAGTTTCGGAAAAAAAAATCACGAAATTATCAAAATGCAGACATTTAACAATTAAACAAGGTAAAAAACATTCAAAGAATTAATTTTTGGAAAAAAATTTCTCGGAGAAAGAAATAATTTCTCGAAAAAAAAAAATTCTCGAAAAAAGAAATAATTTCTCGGAAAAAAATTCGTGGAAAAAAAAATAATTTCTCGAGAAAAATTTTCTCGGGAAAAAAAATAATTTCTCGAAAAAAAAAATTCTCAGAAAAAGAAATAATTTCTCGGAAACGATTTTTTCGGAAAAAAAAATAATTTCTCAAAAAAAAATTCTCGGAAAAAGAAATAATTTTTTGGGAAAAAAAGTAATCAAATAATTAATTCCGAAAATATTTCAAGATTAAATAAACAATTGCCAAATAACCAATCAACCTAATCAATCAATCAATCAATCAATCAATTAATCAATCAATCGAAGATCGATTGGTGGCAAACCGCCAATTGATTGATTGGTTGTTGCCAAGATTCATCGCCAATGCTCCGATACCACTTGTAGCATATCAGAAAGTGAAATGCACTGACAGCCTAGGATCTAGCAATGACGAAAGTGGCAACAACCAGCAGCATAGGTGCAACATTCACAAGATGTCAATATGCATGATGCAAAGAGCAACCCAACGAGAAATCAACAACAACACATTCGTATCATTATCATCATGGGCTGTGAAGCAGCGCAGCGGAATATCTAGTAGCCAAAGGACACGTGAACAGACAGACACGGATAAACTTCGGAAGGGCAAGACATCAGAAAGATTGCCCTTCCGCTCACACACATGGGGAGAGATCCATAGACATGCGAGATAGAGAGGGGGGAGACATAGGCAAGCAAGTCTAACCCAAGTCTGATCTCCAAATGTCGTACACAGTCTAATCCCAGTGTAAGTCCGATCTGAATGTCATGTCCAATAAGGCAGAAGGTCGTGTTCAAACAATGTCTGCACTTACCTCTATCTCTACTCTGAGAAGAAGAAGAAGAAGAAGAAGAAGAAGAAGAAGAAGAAGAACTTCGGAGGAGTAGGAGGAGAAGAGGAGAGGAGAAGAAGAAGAAGAAGAAGAAGAAGAAGAAGAAAGCTGGGTGCTTTCTGCACTTACCTGGCGATGGCTGAACTTGCAGGTACCGCGGAGCCAGCTATGGCGCTGGGCGGGTAAGTCTCTCTCTCTCTCTCTCTCTCTCTCTCTCTCTCTCTCTAACTCCACTACCCTCCTCGGCGCTGGACTCCTCCAGCGCTGTGCCTCATGGCCGATGAGCAGCGCAGCTGCAGTCTCGARATGGCGCAGCAGGGAGTCTCCAAAATAGCGCAGCAGCCAAGTTCCTGAACCAGCATAACGCTGGATTTCTCCTGGTACCTTCTGCGTCTGAACTGGGCAATGGCCCAGCTTAAGTAGTGCTGGGCCAGGACTGAAAACCCACGGCCTGCGTTCTGGACCGTGCAGATCGATGTCCAGGATTAATCTTCCTGGTACCTGGCTTCAAACCGGTGCGGACGTACCCGGCCTCAACGTCGGCCTGGGTTCGAACAGGTCAAAATCTGTTCGAAAACAAAAGAAAAGGTCCAAACGTTTTTTAGGAGCTCAGCCTCCGGGCCTGAATCTGGCCCTGGCCCTAGAAGCGTGTACCTGGCCACAAAACGGACAACAGTACACCCGTTAGAAAAACAGCAGCAAATAAATAAAATAAAGACTATAAAAATAATCTAAAGCTRGCGTTTTTCTGATGCAGGCCCAAGTAAAAATGCCATAGGGCCTTCAGGTTGCGGTGACGCGACCTGGGGGCCCTATTCCAACCTCGGGTCCCGTGAGGGGCCCCTGTGTAGGCTTTCAGCATGTAACACCAGCGGAGAACAATCGTGTAATGAGCGAGTGAAAGCAGGAGTTATAAGCAGACGAAGAGAGAGAGAGAGAAAGAGAGAGAGAGAGAGAGAGAGAGAGAGCAGCAACCGACTTGGAAGGAGGCTGACGAAAGAGGAAGACGAATGAACGAGCCAGCCAACTAAAGGAGCGACTACGAGTGAGTAAGCAAAGAGGAGGGCTAACTAATGGGACGAGACGGAACAGAGGAATACTGACAGACGAAGAGGGCTTCTCGGCGGAGATCGAAGAACAGTTGAAGACCAATGGATCCGGGTCGGAAGCCGCACATTGCATACAAGAAGCCTCCAACTGCCCCAACGCTCAACATGGAGTTCGTGTGCTCTCGAGGCAGTCCCGATGAGGAGCCTGTCAAACCGCCTCCCTCCACCTCGATGTCGGACGTAGAGCGCATCCTCCGTCAGCTGGAAGAGAGCAATGACGATCCACCGGTGATGGGCGTACCTGTCGCTCCCGAGCGGGAGCGGGTGCGAGAAGAGAAGCCTAAAAGGCCACGTGTGATGGCCATGAAGCTCTCTGAGTGTCAGCGCCAATGGTGCTATCAAGCTTGGCAGGCTTTGGAGGCCAAATGGAAGGCGAAGGACAGAACCAAGATCTTTTTTGAAGAGTTCGAATCTTTAAGCCAGGAGATTCACTCCGAGGAGTTTCGGCGTGAGGCCGGAAAGTGTTTGGTGGGAGGACGAGCTCTGAACAACCCCAAAAACAGGTATTCCAACGTCCTACCTTTTGACAGGACACGTGTCAATTTGGCAATCGGTGGGATATCGGGATCTGTAAACGATTACATCAATGCAAGCTACGTCAGGGGCGACTGGAACGAGGCCAGCAAGATTGTGGACAGCGGAGAGGGAGAGGACGCAGGGGGAGGAGGAGAAGGAGGAGGAGAAGGAGAGGAAGGGAGGGAGAAAGAAGATGGTTGTGATGAGGAGAAGCCAGAGAAGCAGGGCTTCAGAGGAGATGAGGAGGCTGGGAGGGAGAGCGGCAGGGGTAGTAGCAGCAGCGGCCCGAGCCAGAGGAGGGATCCTGATCGAGATCGCCGCCAGATGCGTTTCCCAACGTATATCGCGTCGCAAGTTCCGTTTAACTCCACTGTCGTTGACTTCTGGATCATGGTCAGACAAGTGGGTTGTCGAGCTGTGATAATGTTGATGGGAGATTTGGAGTGTAATGCTGCCGATGGCTACTTTCCTGACGAGGAAGGGGACTCTTACAGCTTCCCCCCCCTGCGCATCACGACTAAGTCAAAAACGTGTTTGGAGCCGGGCATCAAGAGGAGAGAGCTCGCTATCTCACTAGCTGCTGCTTCATCTCCTCCTCCTCTTCCTCCTCCTCGCCCTCCTCCTGATTCTCCTGGTCTTCCTCCTCCCTCTGCACCTCAACCCGGCCCTTCTCCTTTTCCTCCCTCTCAATCTCAATCCTCTCCTTCTCTTTCTGCTCCCTTTCCACCTGTATCCTCTCCTTCTCCTCCTCCCTTTCGAGGTCTGCCCTCTCCTTCCACTGCACCTCCCTTTCGCCCTCTCTCCTCTCCTTCTCCTTCTCCTCCTCCTGGACGTCAACCTTCTCCTTCTCCTTGTTCTTCTCCTTCTCCTTCTCCTTCTCCTTCTCCTTCTCCTTCTCCGTCTCCACCTCAGGCGGAGGGGCCCCCACGCATGCCGATGGAATGGCAACAACCCTTTGTTGTTGAGCATTACCACGTCCAAGATTGGCCAGATCAAGGCGTTCCGTCATCATCTAGGTCCATTCGATTCCTACTTAGCCACATTCATACCTCAGCTGTCTCGATTGGTCCGTTTGCTGTTCATTGCGTTGCGGGGACTGGGCGGACAGGAGCTTACTGTGCCGTCGATCGAGCACTTCGAAAGGTTTTGAGCGGAGATCTCTCCGCCATCAACATGAGGGAGGAGGTGAGGTGGCTGCGGCAACAACGGCCAGGAATGATCCAGACGATGGAGCAGTACTTCTTCTGCTACAAGGTCCTCCGGCACGCGTTCGCAGAGCTGTCATCAGCAGCAGTAGAAGCAGCAGAAGCAGCGATTGATCCTGGTCGTCCAAGCTGATCGATCGAGCGGCGGCGCCAATCGCCATTTGGCTGTCAAAATTTGCGCGTCTGATGGATGTCGGGCAGCGTGAAGGCCACATCATTACAGCTGACGGCGTCATTAACGGCGCGCCTGACTGGTGTCCGTCATCGTGGTACGCGTTTAGCTGAGGGCTCAATTTGGCGCCTGATTTCGATCAAAGATTTGCAATGTGGCGCCTGATTTCGATAAACGATGCGCAGTTTGGAGCCTGATTGTGGTCAGCAATGCGCAATTTGGCGCGTGATTTCAGTCGATGCGCAATTTGGCGCCTGATATTGGTCAACGATGCGCAATTTGGCGCCTGATTTCAGTCGATGCGCAATTTGGGGGCCTGATTTGGATTGATTGATCGAGCATCCAACCTCCGGTCGTCTCTTTTCTCCTTTTTTTTTCTTTTTCTTTTTCTTTTTTTGGTTCGCATGGGCCGTGCTCATCTGTCTTCTATCTGTCGTTCTACTTTTAGCGGTCTCAGTTTGCCAGCTTCCTGTCCCCTTTTTTTTTTGTTTTTTCCTTCCAGCTGGGCTGTCTCATGCACATTGTCATTTTGAGCTGCGCTGGTCCCACTTCTGAGGCTATACCGCTATCTGCATGGGATGGATCGATTCTTGAGGATGATGGGTCGATTCTTGAGGAGCCAGTGGTCGCGTCAGCAGAGTGTGTGCTGATCTTCACCCCCGCCCTCCGTTCCCTGCTTGCTCCCCATGGCTTTGACCTGCTTCGCCCTCCAAACCTCAGCCTCGCCTCTTCGGGATTACCGCCCAGAAAAGAAAGTAGTTCTGGAAAATGAAAAAAGAAAGTGGATCTTGAAGATGATGCTTATGGATAAGGATACGAATATATATTGCCCAAGGTGGCGCCGTCATCGCCATTGAAGACGGATTCCAGAATCTCGTCAAGCTGGCGCTGTGTATATGATTACCGTAGGTAGCAGCCATCGCTCCAAGCACAGATCACGCTGGCACCGGACACTATTCTTACCGCAGGTAGCAGCCGTATAAGGAAAGCGCTAATAGACTGCACCGGGGACTATTATTACGGCAGGTAGAAGCCGTACAGTTAAGCTCTAATAGACGATCTTCCAGAATATTCCATATATATATATGTATGCTCTTCCCAGACACCAGAGGGAACAGAAGCGAGAGGCGTCCTTTATAGCTGGAAGTACCGCTGAGCCTTTGTGAGAGCTGAGTTGAGATGCCTTAGGATTTCGGGATGGTTTGCTTGCGGATTGTGAGTTTACCATGAGTTTACCACGAGTTTACCGTGAGCCTACCATGAGTTCACCGTAAGTTTGCCATGAGTTTACCATGAGTTTACCATGAGTTTACCATGAGTCTAGCACGAGATTACCATTGTGTTGTTGGGTAAGCACTCCGAAGCAGTCGTCCGGCGGTCTCTCGGACCGCACGGTTTGACTGCCAATTGTGACTTTACCATAGGTTAGGATTTTTTACCACGAGGAGTCTACCACCATGAGTCTACCATGAGTCCACCACGAGCTCACTGTCGTGTTGTCGAAGGGAGCAGGCGGTCGGCGGTTGAAGAGGGAGAAGGGAAAACATAATGGAGTGGATAACCATTGCGGATAAGGTACCGGTTCCATTACGGATAAGGTAACAGCACCGTTATGGATAACTAAGGGCCAAAAGGACACTGCGGTGGATTTTATGACCGGCCATGACCACAGCGCTACCTGTCTAGCGGAACTGAAACCTGCGGCTGCGCCCCTGTGCGTCGTTGTTATATCTCTATGTGTTCTTTTTGTCGGTGGGGTGTTTTTGTCGGTGGGTTGGCATATATTCGCTAAAGACAACTGCACAAACTTCGACAGCATATGTCGGTTTGACTGCGTTCGAACAGCCACCGACTCATCTGGAGGTGGCCGTCTTTCCAGCATGCATTTGAGTAATGTCGTCGCTCCCACCACGTCGCCCTAAGCCAGGTCGCCTTTAACCACACTAGCCGTACAATCCCGTCCCAACTCTCACTACCCAGCGCAGACGTGCCCTCTCCCTCGTTCAGCCAGGGGCGCAACCGTAGAATCCCCTCCGGGCCTCCGCACACCCACTCAAATATGGTTCCGACTCTAGCTGCATCCACCCACCTGCATTGGCCACGTGCGCGTTTGTGTGCGTGTGTCTGTGTTCGTGCGTGTGCCTCTGACTGCGTGCGGGCATGTTTGTCTGTGTGTGTGTGTGTAGTTGAACGATATTATGAGAGCTTGTTTGGTAATTTCACAAAACCAAGCAGGACTATGCGTGTGTGTGTGTGTGTGTGTGTGTGTGTGTGTGTGTGTGTGTGTG